CGGTGGCGCACTGGATAGTGCGCCGCTTGGGAAGCGTGGCGGTGCTCCCGCCCAAGGGGTCGGATCCCCCATACAGACCGGTTCCCGCTCGCTGGCTGAGCGAGGCGCGGGAGCAACACCGAGGCTTGCAGTCCTGTTGCCGGTCCCCGGTCCGGTGCGGGGGCAACACTGAGGGTTGCGATCCATTGCCGGACACGGAAAAAAGACCAAAAAAAAAAAAAAAAGACATTTGTATTTCTTAGAAATTAAGAAGTGGGAAGGAGAGAAGTAGAGTAAATTTTTATGAATCCTAGAATAGCTTTCTTTTAAACGTTTTTCATCACCCATTAGAATGAAGGGTTCTGCTTTTTCTAATTTATTTTCAATCAGTTGTTTGGTGATGTTTTTATGGATCTTAAAAACTCTGTTTCAAAAAGTTACCCGATCAATAGAAAATTAGTTGGAAATCAATGTTTCCAATACAAACAATCTAAGCCATGGATGGAAACCTTGGTGTGCATAGAGGGGTGATTTTACATCAAACACATAAAAATTCTTTTGTATGCTTTACCTTACTTTGTTTAGCCTGAAATGGATTCACCATCAGTCATACTCACTTGGCCATGTTTTCTCTATTTTAAATTGTGCATTTCTCTTATACTTATAAGCTGCTTTGCTAAAGCCTTCCTTAAAAGAAAACAAAATTTCCAATAGAGGCAAAAGAATGTATTTCCTTTTGGATATTCCTGAAAAGAGCATTAACATATCCTTTCATACTGGAATATAAAACAGCAAAAATGAGAAAGGACATTACTTGGGTGAGTAGTTTGCAACCATGTTTAGAAATAAGACCCTTTATTCCTTGGAAATCCTTTTCTGATGTCCAAGACTGAAAGCGGACCAGGGTGGAGCCATCCTGGGCAGAGCCTGGAATTCTGGTGCGAACCACAGCGCCCCCTTCCGGCTCAAGGCACCTCCGCAGAGGACCAGAAGAACTGAGTCCTTTAAGTCAGTTTTAATCAATCTAGCATTCCAATAGTCATAAGCCTTATTAGTGTACCGAATGTACAATTAGACAGTTTAACCTCAGCTTAATCATCCCTGTTAGTGGTGGCCAAACAGACCTTCATCGGTCAGTAGACACCAAGCTGCAAATGTTTATTTTTACTAGTTAGTTTTAACTCATTTTTTTTCAGACAAATTTTTTAGCTTATTTTTAACTGCACCAGCATCTTCTCAGAATTGCTTTCATGGGCCGACCCGGTGGCGCACTGCTACAGTGCGCCGCTTGGGAGCGCGGCGATGCTCCCGCCGAGGGTTCAGATCCCACATACAGACCGGCCGCTCACTGGCTGAGGGTTGCGATCCTGTTGCCGGTCCCAGTCCGGTACGGGCGCGATACTGAGGGTTGCGATCCGTTGCCGGTCACGAAAAAAGACAAAAAGGAAAAAAAAAAAAAAAAAGAATTGCTTTCCCGTGATAGACAGATCTTTATTTAAAATCACCTAGAATAGTCTCCTCACTTTTCCCTTCCCAACTTTCTCTTCATCTGGTTAAAGACCTGCAGTTTCTTTGACTATTCTTAAAAGGCACAAATCTCACTTCCCAGGTAAATAATGAGGCAATGTTTACATGCCCGTCACAGAGCTAAGAGCCTGGCTTGGATTTAAGCATTCACTCCCCTAACACCCTACGAGTCAAGTTCTTTATTATCCCATCCTGCAGATGAGGAAACTGAGGGTTTCAAGAGGTTACACGATTGGCCCAGGCTCGTACTCAACAGGCTTGGACTCATCAGGCTCTGTACTAAGAAATGAATATATATATATATATATATACACACAGCCAGTTATTAGGGTTTAGTTATTCAGGGTGTAGTACATAGATTATTCTAGCTGCCTTTGTCTGTTCCAAACTCCTCTTACCACCTCATTTCTTGCCCTTCCATTTTCTCTAGATCCTTTTCACAAAGTCCACCATGTAAGTCCTTGAATCCACTGCCCTTATACTCTATAAAACCACTACTAATCAACCACAGTGAAAATGTGAGATAATAATTAACCATCTCTGTACCCATAGAAACCTCCTGTGTCATCTCTAACCTATACTGCAACACTTATTTACTGTCTCATAGTATTCTCATACAACTCCATGTGTTTGGTTTGTTTCCTCCACTAACTCTTTTTTTTTTTTTTTCCTTTTTTTCTTTTTTCGTGACCAGCAACGGATCGCAACCCTCAGTGTCGCGCCCGTACCGGACCGGGACTGGCAACGGGATCGCAACCCTCAGTGTTGCGCCCGTACCGGACCGGGACCAGTAACGGGATCGCAACCCTCGGTGTTGCGCCCGCACCGCGCTCAACCAGTGAGCGGGAACCGGTCTCCACATGGGATCCGAACCCTCGGCGGGAGCGTCGCCACACTCCCAAGCAGCGCACTCTCCAGTGCACCACCGGGCCGGCCCCAGAATTCAGATTTATGTATTAGAAGCCCTGGCCTCTGTGAGGTTCCAGATTTTCTTCTCCTTTAGTGTGTGATGATGCCGTCCTGTCAAAGAAACTCTATTATATAGCAGAAAGCACAAATTGTATAACAAGAGAAGAAATGCATCCTTCTGTCAAAGTGAAAATAAGGTTCATGTAGAATCTGTATGTTGAAAAGAGTGCTTGAATTATTTCTACTGCTATTGGTTTCCAAGTACAACTCCAAATGCACATCTCCTGATCAAAATACTTCATCCTAACATCCACAGTACATGCACGTAGCAAGGACTTAATAAATGCTTGCTTTACAAGCTGAGCACCTATATTGTCCTAGAAATTTGCACGATGACTGTTTCTACCCACATCCCTTAAGAGACAAAAGCAGAGAAATGCTCCAGGCCTCCCCATGGCTATGCAACATGAAACACTCCATGTAATTTAATAGCCCCTGTCAGTTACATGAGGCACCTTTTCCGGGTCTTCTGACCTAGGTCCACAAAGCAAGTGAAACAACACTGTTCTTCCTAGAAATGTTTCAAAAATGAAACTCAATGTGTAGGTGAACTGCAGCTGACTGACAACAACCCCAGACCCTCCTTATTTCTACCCGGGTACTAACCACTTACCTTGTCCTAAATCAGTTACACTCAAATAACATTTTGATGCATGGCAGTGGTCATACACTTTCTGTAACCCAGGGTGTGTTTTTACCTGCCACATGCTCTATTTGTGATTTTTGTTTCAATCGTCATCCATCGTGATGCCTGGGAATATTTTTTAATGTAGATATTCACATAAAGTTTATAATGCCCCATTTCATATTTGTTTAATCACTTATCTAACCTTAAAATAAGAAGAATACTTTGTGCTGGAATCCTTCCCAATTTCCATTGATTTAATCACTTATCTAACCTTAAAATAAGAAGAATACTTTGTGCTGGAATCCTTCCCAATTTCCACTGATTTCAATGCTCTGTGAACTTCTGAACAGGATTATTCTTTAGCAAAACTATGACTCTTAAATAAGTTAAATTAAATACATATTGGTCTCACCACAAAAATAAAAAATACATTCAATGATTTAATATAAAATTCTTTCTTCATTTTCCCATTTCCAGCCCCGACCCTTGCAGTGTCAATGACAGACTTAAACTGTTTTTGATCGTCTATTTCCTCTTTCTTAACAAGGCAAGTGTTTCTCTCATAATAATTTGTTTTCATAAATACCAAAATAGGTGGTCACAGCCTCATTAATACAGCCTTTTCCTTGGGCCCAAATTAAAGACCATGAAAATTTTGAATTCCTGATTAGACTAAATTTACATCCTGTTAATAAAATAATCCAGAAACAGGCACTATCAATATCACGAACATACATATCAAGGTCATGAAGAAAGCCTGTTTAAGTAAACCCAGTAAGCCACATTTACACACATGATAAATTATTCTTCTGTTGAGAGAGTTATTTATAATTTGTCTAATAAAGATACAGGCTAGTTTATAAGCAATTTTCCTGGATAATTTGCAATACAAACCTTAAAGAGATCATTTTGTTGACCTGCCATTTATCATATCAATGTGTACCTGATCCTATTTTGCACACTTACCAAGTACCTTTCGGAGGACACACTAACTAAGATGAGGTCATCTCCCACCCGCACCTTTTCTCCTTCTGATCTCTGCTTGGAGGCAGGATGGATGGTCCACCAGCAAGCCTCACCTACAGACAGATTGAAACACGAAAAACAGAAGCGCCTCTTAATTTAAAATAGATTTTCTTTGCCAGTGACTCCAAAACAAAAGAGAGAAATGAAACAAAAGTCTTCAAAATCAGTTTTCTTAAAATGTAATTGCACCATTCAGACAACTTGCAGAAATTTGAAATTTAGTGCACATTAATCTCTTAAACCGTGTAAATCAAAAGAATTAAGCCATGTTAGCTTAGGATAAGACACACTGAAATACAAAGACTGGTCTCAGAGAAACTGGGTGTGACATTTGGGGAAGGTGGGTGTCTTTTTCCCCCCTAACAATTGCTTAAAAAGGATATTTATTTATGCTAACATAAGACCAAATTCACCAGTCACACTGATCTGAGTTCATTTTTTATACAATCCCATGTTATTACCCTGTTCGCACTGCTCGCTGTAAAAACGTCTAATTTTTTGCCACTTGATTTTCAGAAGGACATAAGCTTTTATGATATGACAGCTGCATTATAATAATTTTTAAAAAATCTCTCAGTACTCTAAAATTTACTATCCTGCCCCTTTTTTCTCCTTGTTTTATATTGTTACTTTGAAGTGTAGGAGTTTGTATTAATATAAGGGTAAAATATAAGAGAATCCTACTATAGGACACATTATAAAAAGATCTGGGTATAGAGCAAATCGAACCATGTGTCCATTTTTCATTCTACAGTCCCACTAGGTTATAACCTGAAGAATACAATTCTTCAATCTGTTCATAGTTTCTTCCATTGGTAAAGGGTCACGAAAATCAACTGCTTTGTATAATGATAAATACAAAAAAAAATTTTTTAAATAAAGTTTTTTTTTTT